TAGCCAACCCTGTTCTGGTAAAAAAGGCTAACGGTAAAATGGCACATGTGTGTCGATTATACCGACCTGAACCGAGCTTGCCCGAATGACTGCTTCCCACTCCCCAAGATCGACCGTTTGGTGGACGCGACCTCAGGGCATGAGTTGCTAAGCTTCTTGGACACCTATTCGGGCTACAACCAGATCAGAATGGACCCTGCTGACGAAGAAAAAATGGCCTTCATAACCGAGCTCGGCGTGTACTACTACAAGGTCATGCCCTTCGGACTGAAAAATGTCGGGGCAACATTTCAGAGACTTGTAAACCAACTGTTTGAGCCGTTGATCGGCAAAAAAGTATAGTGTTATGTAGACGACATGGTCATCAAAACCGAATTTTCAAATGATTTAATAAACGATTTGCGTTTTGTTTTTGAAATTTTTCGCAAGTTTAATATGAAATTAAACCTGAACAAGTGCGTTGTCGGTGTCACCTCTGGTAAATTCCTAGGTTACATCGTTAACCGACGTGGGATTGAGGCCAACTCTGACAAAATTAAGGCCATCTTAGATATGAGACTCCTCGGTTCATGTCCAAGTCGGTAGATCGCTCCCTGTCTTTCTTTAAGGCAATTAAGAGAAGCAAAGACTTCGAATGGACCGAAGAGTGCCAGCTCGCTTTTGACGAGCTCAAAAGGTACATCGCTAGCATCCTGGTGTTAACCTGACCCGAGGAGGGAGATATTTTGGAGTTGTACCTCTCCGCGAGTGGCGAGGTAATCAGCTCGGTACTGACAAAAGTGGTAGATCGGGTCCAACGACCCATCTACTATGTTAGCAAAGTGTTGCAGGAAGTATAGACGATGTATCCTGAGATCGAAAAGTTGGCGTACGCGCTAGTTGTTGCAGTTCGGAAACTGCAACCGTACTTCCAAGCTCATACAATCGTCATCCTCACCAATAAGCCTCTGAGGCAAGTCTTGCTCAAGCCTGAGGTCTCCGATAGATTGACGAAGTGGGCAATCGAACTCAGCGAGTACGACATCCAGTACAAACCGCGAACTGCCATTAAGGCCCAAGCCTTAGCTGACTTTTCCGCGGAATGCACTTTCAGCACTGAGGTCCCTCAGTTAGTCGAGCCTGAGCATAGCGAGGAAGCTCCAACCAGCGTGGCTTCTCTCCTGGTTAGACCAAAACTGACCTGGGATGAAGAGCCCAGGATCCTCCATGTGGATGGCTCGTCAAATCAGCAAGGTAGCGAGGCTAGAATCGTTCTGTATGGGCCAAGCGGCGTGAAATTGGAGTATGCGCTACACTTCGAGTTCGCTGCGTCCAACAATGAAGCGGAGTACGAGGTGCTGATAGCCCGGCTGGCCTTAGCAAGCAAAGTGAAAGCTAAGCATATCGTTATCTGTAGCGACAACCAGCTCGTGGTGAACCAGGTCACTGGCGAATATGAAGCCCGCGAGCCAACCTTGGTCACCTACTTAGCCAAAGTCAAAGAGGTCCTGCTCAACTTCCAGTCTTACTTCATCAAGCTGATCCCGAGATCCGAGAACACTGACGCCGATGCCCTATCCCAATTAGCCAGCACAAGCGACAACACCATGGGAACCGTGTACATAGAGAACTTGTCTTGGCCAAGCATTCTCAGGGGGGCAGAGGAGGTCGCTCCTGTTGTACAAGCAGAGTCGAGCTGGATTGACCCACTCGCGAGCTTCCTGCTACACGGGACCCTCCCTGCATATTGTAATGCTGCCAGAAGGTTAAAGCGCCAGGCAGCCAAATACGTCATAATAGAGAGACAGCTGTACCGAAGATCTTACACGCTCCCTTATCTGYGCTGCTTACGACCCTTTGAAGCCGAGCTTGTGCTCTGCAACACTCATAAGGGCTTGTGCGGTGGACACTTGGGGGGCAGGGCTCTCACCCAGAAAGCGCTATGATAGGGATATTATTGGCCAACGTTGAAGGCAGATGCGATTGAATTCGTCAGAAAGTGACAAATGTCAAAAGCACACCAACATCCACCACCAGCCCGTTGCCGACCTAAAGTACCTCACCATCCCATGGCCTTTCGCACAATGGGGAATCGATATACTCGGACCATTTCCACCAGCGACAGGATAGAGGAGGTTCTTACTGGTAGCAGCTGATTATTTCACTAAGTGGGTGGAGGTCGAACCTCTCGCAACGATCACAGCGCGGAATGTGCATAACTTCTTCTGGAAGAATATAGTTTGTCGTTTCGGACTACCCCGAATGCTCATCTCTGATAACGGCAAGCAGTTCAAGGACATTAAATTATAGAATTGGTGCAAAGATATGGGAATACAACAAAATTTTACCTCGGTGGCGCACCCTCAAGCGAATGGCCAAGCGGAGGTTACAAACAGAGTCATTCTCCGCGGACTTAAGGCACGCCTAGACCGAGCTACGAAACTGTGGGTAAACGAGCTGCCCAGTGTACTATGGGCTTATCGAACCACGGTGAAGACCGCAATAGGCAAGACCCCTTTCAACCTCACTTACCGCACCGAGGCAATCATCCTAGCCGAGATCGAGGTTCCCACGTGAAGCAAACAAAGATGAGCTACGCACCAACCTCGACCTACTTGACGAGGTACGGGACCTCACATACATTAGGACCGTGGCCTACCAACAAAGAGTAGCTCGGTACTATAACGCCAGTGCCAAGAAGCGGAACCTCCGTATCGGAGACCTGGTTCTTCGTAAAGTCATGGTACCTGAGCCCGGTGTTGGTAAGCTCGGGCCAAATTGGGAAGGACCCTACAAGTAAAGCGGGTGCTCGGGGAAGGAACGTATGAGCTCGAAACCCTGAAAGGGAATCAGATACCTCGGGTATGGAATTTTGTCAACGTAAGGCAATATTACCTGTAATCACCAAGCTGAGTGGACTATAAGTCGCTCCCCCAGCCCAAGGGCCAAAACGCCGAGCTAACAAAGGACCTCGGCACTATAAGACCCAGTCGCCTCTTCGGCATGGGCGAACTCCAGGAGAGTGGACTATAAGTCGCTCCCCTAGCCCAAGGGCCA